TGAGGGCTACGTAAGAAGACAAAACTTCCAGCTTCATGTCGCTTCTAAATCCTACCACATCTGCTAACCATTACAATGCTTACGGTCATCCATTTGGCCCTACAACACTGTAATTAAAAAAAGCAATAAATCGTTTTTTCCGGTTTCACTGTTTACTTATTTCCAGTCTTCATGTTTACTTTCAATTTACCCATCTTCAAAACTTGCTAAGGTGAGGTATATAATAGCATTTCCCTTTTATAAAAATAATTGATGTGTTTTTGAAAGTATATTATTTGCAAAGATACAACAGGTAAACTGCTGGTAATTCTAAACGACCGGAACACTACCTTTCTAGAATATTTTACATCACTACACCTAGAATTTTATAAACCCAATGCTGTTCTTCTGCAATTGAGGGCGAAGGCGTTGTCCATCATCGATGTTGACTTTTCTTTTTGAGATAAAATTCATTAATTATACGTCTTTGATATCGCTTTACAAAACTCCTCATCCTCATTAATTTAGTTCATTGCTTTATAAGAAAATTGTATTGAAAAAATTTATTAAAGCCGCATTGCAAAGATGAGCAGTAGGCTTAGATACTGAAGAGGACTGTAGAAAGCAACATGAATGCGAGAAGCAATGCCAAGGCTCCTGAAGAGAGGGTCAAAACAAGTGAAAAATCACATAATCAACACTTTTGCATTTTTGCTTTAATGTAGTTGCTCAAAGATGAACCATGTTTTACCGCTAATATAAATTTTAGATTTTAGATTCTGATATACTTAAAAGTACATATTTGACGTCAAAATTATTTGTTTTTCTCTTCTTTTTTTTTCACATTTCAAAAAATACGTTTAGAGTGAAACGTCTAACTCAACTTCCCAAGCACTACCGCAACAGGAGAAATCCAATTTTAAGAAAACACAAAACACTAAATGGTGAGTGAGAAATAAAATACAGAGTCAGCAAAAGCATTCAGCTTTCGTTGAGATGCATGTTATTAACTCCATTATGTTGCTCATAAAGGAATAACAGCTTTCTTCGGACGTAAAAAATTTTAAATTATTAATAGCACTAAGCTCTACACTAAAGTTGGGAATCATCAGCTGTTTTTTTGGCAAGGCAGCGGAAAGAAGATTCTTAAATCGCGAAACTGTGCCAAAAATAATTACAAGTAGAACAGTTTAAGCAGCAGTTACGAAATTTTTTTTATAACTGAATGCTACGATGTACCCTAGCAACGAAAAGGAATTCCGTACATTCAAACCCTATTTAATAATCCATTTCGGCTGCAGTTATTTGAAAAACCATAAATCCTTTCAGAAACGAGTACCAAATGCTATCGTTTCAAACATTAGACACCAGCTTATGGATTTGAGCGAATGCCATCTGCTCTCAGGTTAAAAGTAAGCGGAATAAAGAAGCTTCTAAAAATTTTTTTAGAACTAACTATGAGGAAAAATCTTACCATTGTTGATTAAATGAACTTTGAACAAGTAATAAGCACTAAAAAATTCAGTAAGTATTACCAAGAGGAAGGCAAAAACAGTAAAGTACTTGCACAGGCGGTGAGTGCACATGGCACTTTTCTCACTGGTAGCTTGCATCCTAGGTTCTTTTCTCAAGATTTTTTCAAGATCTTTTGCTGTGCATTTATCGAGGAGCTGAGTGTCTTCGGGAAACGGTAAAACTTCTCGGAACTGTTACCACAGTCCAGCAGCTCTATAAGCTCTATCGGGAGAGCTCCGGCACACTGGCAAGCTTCAGCTAAGGCTAATGCAGATTTGGGCTGAAAAAATAACGTAGCAAATCATCGATTTTGTGAAGCTCTGCCTTTAGTGCTCCTCATTTTTCTGAAAGATGCTATATAAAAACTTTGCTGTAGGCAATGGATGCGATAGCCCCGGGTGAGAAATTCACGCAGGAAATATAGCTGTTGCATGCGAATTTTGTGACGCAAATGGCAAGTAGCCAATAATTCTCTTTTGTTATGCTAAAATTCTAGAATCTGAAGGGCTCTGGTTCCCTGAAATCACTGACGCTGCCGTTGCTGAAGGTGAAGACTTTGTTTCTTTTTTTTTTTCTTATGGCGCCTTTTAAACTTTTTCTTTCAGCAAAGTAACAGCTTTGGTTTTTCAGATGGAGACTTGGCTTTTTTTTGTACATCCTTTTTATAGCGAATAAAAATGAAACTTGCTTTTTCTTTTTCTGTCCAACTGCTACTTTTACAGTAATAGTTAGCCTCAGTGCAGTTGATTGATAGAGGAAGAAGAGAAAATGTCTGAATGTTTTGTAATTAGTCTGAGAAGGCCATTACCGGATCACTGTTCAAAAAAAAAAGGAAAAAAGAACAAACAAGCAAGTAAACCGAAAAAGCAGTCAAGCATTTTGTCTATGAAAATGCAGCTTTTCATTGAAAAAAAAAACGTTCTATTCATCACACTGTTCCTTGTTATCAAAATTTTATTATTTTTTTCGTTCACCATCTCCTACATAATCATAAAGAATTCCAGCGGGCAGAATCGTAAAGGTTGTTAACCAATTGCCATTTTTCATGAAGAGGCGATATAAATACGACGGTGTACGGTGAGACGCAGTCGATACTGAACTGCATGAGCTTACGGTAGCCTCAGCTTCCAACCACCTATATTCCAGGTCCTTCTCTGCTATCGGTAGTTTAAGCTTCGCATTTGCCATTTTTTTTAAAAAAAGGATAAAAAGAGCTTCCTCGCTTCGCGTCATTGGGAGCATGCACAAAGCACGGTTGTAGGGAATTTCTTCTGGAATCACCGTAACTGCGGCATTTTTCTGCTAGGTCTCTAATTTGTTGACAGTAAGACGGGCTGGCTTTGTCTTTGAAATTCATGATAGTTGTACTTCACTGTGATAGTGCACATCGGTGCTATTTACGCATAGCAGCATGCAATGGAATAACTATTGGCGAAACGTGTGCATTGAGGTTTTCTAATAATATAATTTTCAGCTTCTCAGCAGTTACGAACTGCCGTGCTTTTCAAATCGATGTCGCTTGTAGAGGAACTTCCACTCACAGAAACTTGAGCTGAAATTAAAACATTCCTCAAGTTCTCATTATCCTATATTATCACTGCAAGTTCGCCAAACTTTTTTGCATGAATAGCAGCAAGAACTTAAGATCGCTGATTGGAGCATACTGCAGTGGACTAAATTTCGATTTGTCCACGCTGGTAGTAATTCTAATATCCAGTAAATTTTTTTTTTTCTAAATCTACCATAGTGGCAGTACAAACCTTCAGATATTCACTTCTATTTCTTGAACACGTCTCACATAAATCTTGTTTTACTGCCATGTTAATTAACAGTTTATCTTAGAAAACTGGTTGCTTAGTAAAAAAAGTTACAAACCAGGAAATTATTTATTTTTTTAGTGTAATTGACAGAAGAAATGATTTCACAAAATCTTTATTGCGTTTATCGCAAAAAAAAAATTCATCGCATTATTTAGCAATAATCGGGTAACTGCAAACAACACTTTCAACAAACACACGTTTCTGTTTAAATAATTTTTTTCTGCTAATTTTATGGCTATTTTAGCCACTTCTTACGGATGAAGACTCGTATCTCCTCCTGTTCACAAGTTAAGAATTTAGAGCTGCCACGTTCACTGTTTTTAAACTTCACTAAACTAAGTAATTCATTTGCAGAAATCTTTTACTGGTAAAAGAACTGGAGGGCGTCTTAAATTGCACAAAGTTAGGTACTTATGCTTACGCGCACTTCATATACAAACGGCAGAACATTCTGTAAAGAATGTCGAATATAAGACGGCTTGAAAGACACAGAATTAGCCTCTGCAAATGAGGTTAATAAGACTGTCAGTTTATGTCTTCCTGTCAATAACTTCACTAGTTCTTTGTCGCTTATGTTTCATGTTTGGAAACTTCCAGCTGACACAAGCTGAGAATCATTTGCATCACCAACCTAAAGAAATTAATAATTAGCAAAACCCATTAATTACTCGTTAATGTTGCCTCATTTTCGTAATTTTCGATTTCCTTTTTATCCTATTCGGGAACAAATAGTCTCAGAAGAAGTAATTCGCAAACAGAGGAGAAGAAACGCTGATAGTAAGGTAGGCGGGGGAGAGGGAAGTGAGAGGAGAGAAATAGATACAGTGTGAAACGAATTCTCTGAGACTTTCTCGGTAATGCGTTTTCAACTCCTAATTGGGTCTTTGCAGTGAAATACTATATTCCTAATCAGCACTAGTGTTACTTTAGATAAAATTCCACTGGTTTTCGGAGCACCACTTCGACGTTTGATCGGCTTTTCATTATTGGACGTTGTCAATGCAGAGTTGCGAAGTTGGTTGACACCGAGTGGTGCGGAAGAGCACTTTGATGCCTACTTCAAAAAACGGGGCTATGTTACTGACGATATGTTAAGAAGATATAAATTGAAATTTGACCATTGTTCTTTTATCCGATCGCCCACTTTTCGTCTTAGCCCGAGTTCCTTTTGCCCAAATTTTTTAGGGGCTACTTAGACAGTTTTCAAACTGCGTCATAAGTTAATCAAATGCACGTTTTGTCTCCTTTTCAATTAAAAGGACTTTGATGTTTTACTCGCTAACTTTTCCTTCCCTGTGTTTGAAAAGCGGAAGTTTTTCAGCTTTTCCGCCGAAATGAACAGAAATTAACTTCCAATGTGTATTCATATAGAATAGTTACGAGTCACAGTATGAACACGAGATGGGAAGACAGTTGAACTGCAAAGTGTTCTGAGCAGATTTGCTCATAACAACTACGTTGGATCTGTGCACAGACAAGATTCTCTGTCAAGTTTGATGCATACTCATGTTACTTATACCCTTTTCTCCTCTAATTAGATCTTCTTTTTTTTGGTATGAAACAGAAGAGGGGAGGGTGGGAGAAGCGGAAGGAGACCTACTGTTCGTTTTCAAACCGTTTCAAGCTGGAAACCTGCTTTGAACCACAAAAAAATCTTCAGTATCTAAATAATACAAGTAAGGAACATCAGAATGAACCTACCGATGTGATGAGCCTATTTAAAATAGGAAGGGAAAAACTCGCTGGGAAATTCGGCGTTGTCGGAAAGCTGAAGAGTGTCTGCGACGGACTCAAACTGGAAGGCAAAGTTCTTGGCGTGGGCGTATTCTCAATCAGTCCCATAGTTGCTTCTTGTTTTATATCAGAACCATCTTGAAAACTACAGGGCATATCATTAAGGCCGAACAAAGCACCAAGATGAATATTATTTGTCAAATTATTCGAGAGAGAAAATAATGAGGGGACAATCATTAGCAGACTACACAATCGGAACGAGGCATCGTGAGGAGAGTGAATTTGACTGAGATGTACAAATAAGGCGCGGAGCAAGTCATCTCTAGCCTAAAAACTCTTTAGTTTACTTCCTTAAATTTGCATAATATGACTAAAAATAAATAATAGAAATAGTTAATAACTCGAGACAGTCACCTGTTGCAGTCTAACACGTGCAGTAGCGGTTAGACCAGATACGTTAGGTGAGAGAAGTAAAATCGCTTTTAGACTTGCAAATTCGGCTGCTGTAACTGCAGTTTGCCTTAACGGCAAAAGCAACTCGTCAAGAAGTTGAGTAAGAGCGAAAGATAATTTGTTTCCACGGTCTGCTGGGATTGGTAGTGACGTATTATTGGGTAATACAATAGTTTGGGAATATAAAGAACGTTGCATGGTGTTGAGAAGTGAAAATGCACTAAAGCTGTGCGTCATTAACAAAACCTTAAAAATCGGACTCTGTTTGAAGGGCTTAATTTTAGTTGAGTATTTTAATTTCATGAGCCTTTAAAGAAGAAACGGAAGGATATACCCTGTCTGAAAACGGCAGGTCCGAAATAGGATGTAAAAGATTTGTCCAGCAAACTATGTTTGAAATATTCTCCTGTCTGGAGGAAAATTTTTTTGTTAATTCCTCAGCAGAAGTACCATTTTTGTTTCGAATAGTTTGAAACTGATACTCAATACTAAATACAGTGTCCATAATCTTTCGAGATGAAACAGTTAATATCTCGTTAATACTGGTTTCTTCTGGGCCGGACGGAGATAAACGACAATCTGGAACTCCAATTTGTTAAATTTTTTAAAGAAGTTTTTCTTTATAAGAATTTGTGAGCAATAATGTAGGAAACTAGTGTATCAATTGTTCGAAACAGAAATAAAATAACTCTAGCTTTAGAATACGGTTATTTGAAAATCAATTACGAATATTCTGTTAAAGAAGTTATAGTGAAATCACTTTTTCCGGTTAAAAATCTGCGATCGCCTTTTGAAGTCAGGTTACAGTAGAATAATTTAAGTTCGTTGTTCGCCAGCAAAAACCGAAATGCGCTTGAAAATAATGTTATAACAGTTCTAGATTTTTACCGAAATCACTAATTTCTCTGATATTTGCAGAGTTTGAACACAGATGCAGAGAACTTCGTTTACGATTCCTTATTGTGCTGCCTATGCGATCTCTTTCATTTTGTATTGCTGAAACAGTCGCGAAACTATAAAAAATCAATTTAAAAATGTAAACTTTTACTGCCTCCTGTTTTTTATGAACAACTTCTGAGTTTTTGCTATTTCTTACTGGCAGACATACAAGTAGATCAATCGTCGTTATTAATATGTCATTGATATACTGTTAGTCTTCCAGTTGTACCTAGTGTAGTACGCCGCTTGATACAACGTCAGATGTATGATGAAGTCAAGAAATGTCAACATTGTCAGAATAGCTGTAAAAGAACATTACCCTCTTGCCTCATTCCCGCAAGAAGACATTTCTGGAACCTGCAATACCGGCAAGCATTACGATGGTCCTTGTCGACTGTGCACTTTTGCTCAAACCGACAGGTGTACTGAAGATTTTGCCAAACGCTGAAGAAAAATTAAGATGTTTGGAGCAATAATACGACTCAAGAAGTGTGCAAAACTGAGTGCTTTTATTCTGTGGTAACTGGTGGTTGGCTGCTTGATACAAATCTGGCAAGTGTTTAAATTGCTATTGCTACAAATCTCTTTAACAAGTTGTCTTCTCCTGAGTTTGGAGAGGAAGATAGTAAAAAATTTTTATCTTTTTTTTTCAATATCCAGAAGTCACAGTTACTTAAAATACTCAGACAGATTTTTTTCTTAAAAAAGTAAGAAATAATGTACTAGATTTTTTTTTGGGAAGTCTCTTCGTTCTTCCAGGTAATCACATAGCAAAAAGTTTTTGGTCTATTTCAACTCTTTGGGAAACTTTTAACCTAAAATTTCTCCTCTTGTTCAGCATATGAATTTCCCTTGTACTTTCATAGTTTATTTAAGGTAGGGAGAACTAAGCATATCAACTTTAAATAACATATTTTGATTACAGACCAATAAAATTGGAGTTTTTCCTGAAAATTAACAACACAGCATGAAGTTCCTTTGCGTGCTGCTCATAAACCGGTCCGATTTTTCTCTGGATTTTTCATGACTGTTCAAAGAGTGCGGAGAGAAGTCTTGTCGAGTGAAAAAAA